TAAAAATAATTTGTTACAAATGTGTATATGCTGTGCGACCTTGAGGCTCTTTCTACATATCAAAGGACAAAATTACAAATGGTTTAGATCTTCATCAATTTTATTTTGTATTCTTAATTGGGTAATTTTTMATTCCACAAAACAGATTAAGTATTCTCATGGGCTGAACAGAAAAGGTTRGTTTTATGACAGAGAAGGACTGAAAAAAGCAGAAATAAAAAATGAAAAGTGATTTGGTCACTTCAAAAYGGTGTTCCGTATATGATGGGAGACKGGAGAGTAGAAAAATAACTGATTGGTTAACGTGAGCTGACTYCAGGTTACTTTTGGTAAAGATGAAAGGACTTAAGGATAAGGTGATGTATGCCAACTGGCCTATTTGGAAAATTTTTGCTCTCTTTCTCCTGAGGAAGGTGAGTTACTCAATTGTTTTCAGTTTGAAACCTGAATATGAGTGATTCTATTTGGAATCTTAGGGTTTTTTTTTTTCTTTTTTTGTTGTTGTTGTTTTTGTTGGGGTCTAGTGAAAGACGCTAGTCAAAAACTGTGGCTTCCTGTAATTTTTATTTAAGTTCATATACCTCAAGATTAGGATGTATTCTGCTACATCAATCATTGCCCAAGTGCCAGTCACCAGCGTGATGGAGCTGGGATYGTCCAGAAGTAATAGTGAGAGGATACACTTTTGTTTTATTAAAACGAACACGAAGGAGCTGGGGCTGCAGCTCCATGGTAGAGCGCTTGCCTAGCATATGTGAGGCACTGGGTTYGATTCTCAGCACCACGTAAAAATAAACAAATAAAAATAGGCATTCTGTCCATCTACAACTATAAATTTTTAAAAAACGAACCTGAAAATAAGAAGCAAAGTTAAAGGAGTTATAGCTATACATAGGTATAATTTTTATTTCTCCCTTTCATACAATCCAAGTGCTAGATTTGAGGTACTAGCATTCTAATTTATTTGAAAAACCCTGGTTTCAGTGATGTTTATGCAAAGTCAAACTTAAGTCAGTTTGGGGGATGTTTGGATTTTTCTCCTGCCAACATTGGGCTGAYTGGGTCAAATTTTTTACTTTCTGTGTAGTTGTTTTGTGCAAAAAAAATAAATAAATAAATAAAAATAAAATGTGTAGAAGGTGTAGCTATCAAGCTCTATAGCAACTTTTTGTTTCATTTCTGCAACCTGTGAATTGAGGATAGTATTTGATGTGCATCTTCTCTTAAAGATACTCATAAAGCATAGTTTATGCTCTTGGGAGGAAAAAACAGTCTTACCACTTAGTTAATCCCCATCATCTCCACATAAGTTTTATGTCTTTATGGGCTTTGATGGGTCTCTAGGRTTATGGGGAAATGAGGAATGTAGAACTACTGTGGGAAATTTCTGGTCAGGGGCATTTGAGGTGCATCTTATTTTGACCTATCTTCTTCCTTCTATGTCCAGGAGGTGACATACTGAGGAAGAGAGCATCAAGCTGGAGGGTGCTAGTTTCCGGACTTTAGGAATATGTTGCATCTTCTTGGAATTGCCTACCTCAGGTCATCATTCATGTGAGAGAGACGTAGATTTCTTTCTTGTGAAAGCCACAATTATTGGAACTTTCTATTATGGGAAGCCAGACCTAACTCTCATAAATACATACCTATGATTTCAAAGTTTTTTGTTGTTTATAAAAAAAAAACTACATATGCTTCCTCATTTCACTTCTTCAATTATGCATTGAAGTACCTGGAACAAGAATTATCATTCCCATTTTTCAAAGAAACGAACCTTTTAGGAAGGTGACTAACTAATGGACAAATAACTACTAAGCAGAGAATCCAGATCAAATATAAATTTAGTATCACAAATTATACAAACATGCACATGTCCAGACACTTCCCCCACCACCCCACACAGTGCAAAGTCTTTGAAACCAGACAGACCTGATTTCAAACTTTCTGCCTAGCTCTTGTTGCCTTTAACAGRTTACCTACCTTTTATGGTCCTCATATTTTGTCTCCAAGGTGTATTAACAATATTTCAAAGAGACAGAGAATGCCAAAGGAGATAATGTTAGTGAGGTCTGTGTTCAGGTGTGGCACATAGTACATGCTTAGTAAATAGAGCTCTTAATGTTTATTCTTCTAAAGATTATTCAGGTATGGGAATTAAAAAAAATGTCTGGAAGAGGAAGACTAGAAAAGAYGAGCCTGCTTAAAGTTCTGTGTGTCTTTAAAGAATCTGAAATATTTTGACTTATTAGTGGTTTAGAAGACCAGATTACCAAGTGTTGGTGGCCAAGATTTTTGAATCCTCTGAACATCTTCAAGGTACTTCTTTGCATCTATATTTAAGGTCAATATCGCAAGGAAATCTCCTTTGCTTTCAATCACATCATGAGACTCAAGAAGATGGGAAAGTGGTCATTCCAAAGTGATTTTTAAATTTCTGTGAAATAAACAGAAGTGAGTGCCCTCCCTAGAGTAACATGTTAAGTTTTATATCTCAAATACATTGTTTGAATTTACCATGCAAATACCTACTGTCACATTACAGAACTTCAAGGAGATCTATGAACTTCTAGAGAAACTGAGACTTATGAATTTCCTGACTGGTCATTTTAGCTGGGATCAATGTGGCAGTGAGAGCTGATGCTTCCACCTGTGGAGTAAACAGATCAGATTTATGTGATTTAGATTTTGTCTTAAATTAAATCCACTCCAGACTACAAACACAACGGAAGGTCAGAATAATAATGTGAATCAGCCCATGTTGCAAGATGCAGGACATTTCTGAGTCTGTCAACAATGACGAGGGTTCTTTGGTTTGTTTTCTGCTTTTCATACTGAACTAGATAAGTTAATGTTTGCTTCGTTCTTACTCAGAACAATTGGCCTGATCAAATAATCACGGTGTTTCTTTACCACCACCATTAGGCAATATTTGTTTGATGGAAAGGACTCTGGTAATTCAATTGACTGTCTAACACAGGCCTCACACAGCAGGAGAACAGAGTGGTGGCTGTCAGAATGACTGTGCTCATCCTGCTCAGGTCTGACATTTCAAGGCAGGATTTGATTACAACTAGCAATTTGGAATTATGGGCAAGGAGACAAAGCACAGAGACCAGGAAACATAAAGAGACTAAAATAACAAGACAGTGAGACAGTCTGCATTACATTCCCACTTCAGACTCAAAGTAGGAAAATGATCCTACTGAAAATGGCTCTCACACTCAGAGTATCACAGCCACTTGCAGACTTTGTCAAGTCAGTACACTTCTTAGCACAGGTGCCAATCTGTGGGGTCCTTCTGAAAAGTCCAATGCCTCAGGRAAGACACAAACTCAACTACCAGACATTTTCTGAGAAGATAGAATGGAAAGTTCTAAGCTTACTGGTGCTTATTTATGTGTCAACTTCAATCACATTTCAGCAGTTACTCCAAATTCAGAATACTTTAGTTTCTTATTTTTTCCTCTTTTTTAAAAATACTTTTTGTTGTTGATGGACATTTATTTATTTATTTATATGCAGTGCTGAGAATTGAACCCAGTTTCTCACACGTGCTAGACAAACGCTATACCAGTGAGCCACAACCCCAGACCCCTCCTTCTCTTTTAACACAGTTTTTTTTTTCAGGTGTTCCTTTTTCCATTTTTTGTTTTATAATTTAGCACTAAATGTGTTCTTGGTAAATATCTTTTTTTTTCCTCAAATACTTTTAAGTTTCCCTTATGAAGACTTAATGCCTGGGAAAAGATAAGCAAGAGTAATAATGTTAACATATGCATACAATAATATGTGGACATTTGTCTGTGTGTGTGTGTTTGTGTGTGTGTGTTTGTGTGTGTGTGTAATGGTTAATAAATTTACAAAGCACTTTTATATATAGTATGCCAATTAATCCTAAGAACAATAACATCCAATGCTCCTTCTCTTCCTCCTATGGGCTGAGTACAGTACTGAGTTCACCATGCAATGTCTCTAGAGATGAAAGTAACAAGGAAGAAAGACAATTAGGAAACACATTTGGATGTACAGGGGAGATAATGAGGAGTAGATAAACAAATGCTAGCCTAGGCCTGAGCCATCCTAGGAAGAATGCTGTTCTGCTACTTGTTTCTATTATCTGGCATTGGGCAAATGAGAACCTTTCCAGGCCTCTGTTTGCTTTTGTCTAAGGTTAGATGAGCCCACACCTGTCCCAACTCCGTCTAATCTAACTAAATCAGATGACATATTAGAAGATCTTTCTAGTTTTCCAACTGCAAAATAAATATTTTGTTACTTTTCTTTATCCTTTACTTATCCCAATATCTGTAGAATCAACCTTAACAGAAGCCTCAGTCTATTGAAGAATAGAAAAGATTAACATTTTTAGAACTGTTGGAGCCTTTCAAAACAGTCTCTGGACCATTTTGCTTCTCTTATAATAATTATGTTCATCTGGTAGCCAGATACCTGAGTTGCAATCTATTGAGAATAGAGGTCAAGAAGAAACCAGGAGAATCCTATAGGATCTTTTACAAATACTTTTCACTTTAACTTTTAAACTTTTTTTTTTTAATGGTGAAGTCTACAGACAGCATCTAAATCATGTGGCATGGTTATAAGCAGTTTTTGTTTACTGTACCCTACCATTTCCTATTAGCCAGAAGCTCCAGGGTTGGGCCCAGGAATCTGCCTTTTTGAGAATACACACTGGCTGATATATTTATGCCCCATAACCCAGGAATTCAGGCTGAAATTTATAACTTGTAAGAGAGCATTTGTTCTTCACTTCTTCCTAGGAGTAACAAGATTTCTCTATCAACAGTCTATTAAAAACAGATATAAGTGCTTTAATAAAATAATGAAGAAAATAATAAATTAAGGAAATAATATAATAATAAAAGAAATGAAAGAAAATAATAAAATAAGGAATAATGAGATAAAAGCAGCACTCTATTTAGGTGCAAAATTTGACTTCATTTTTTATTATTTATATATGACAGCGGAATRCATTACAATTCTTATTACATATATAGAGCACAATTTCATATCTCTGGTTGTATACACAGTCTAACTTCATATTTTTGAAAGCACTTTGAAGTAATGTTTTCTCAGCATTCCTTAACTGAATGGTACGTTCACAAGAGAACTCTGGAAAATGTGTTCATCTCAGTGTTATTTCTGGTCTCTTCTAAAGAAATAACCTGTAAGACAATAAATTGATAACCAACCAGTTATTTTACAAATAAGGAGGAAGCCTCAACTCATTTTAAGAAAGAATACTAAAGCAGGGCCTGGTAGCACACGTGCCTGTAATCCCAGTGGCTCAGGAGGCTGAGGCAGGAGGACTGCAAGTTCAAGGCCAGCCTTAGCAATTTAGGCCCCTAAGCAACTTAGAGAGACCCTTCTCAAAATAAAAATATGAAGTAAAAAGGACTGAGGATGTTGCTCAGTGGTTGAGCATCCTTGGGTTCAATCCCCTGTCCCCCACCTCCAAAAGAAATAATACTAGAATCTCAAGGTATTGGCAGTCTGTACAGCATGTGGAGATAAAAAGGTAAAGATTYTGTCTCTAATTTTCCATGAATATGGAATAATGTAGGGCAGCTTCAGAAGCTATACACATATTAACAACCAGGGATTGATTATTACTAATTCAACATGCATTTATTGCACAACTGTGCCTGGCACTGGTCCAGGTTTGGGGATAGAGGAGTAAATAAAACAAAGGCTCTCTAGCACTTACATTCTGTCAGTGGAGGAAGAAAATAAAGAAGCTACCTTTTGATATTTCTAACATGTCATGTGCTAGAAGATGATAACAATGGGGAAAACTGGTTTATTCTGAATCTGCCATGCTAAATTATTTTTAAATTCTGGAAACAAAACTAGAAAACAGTGCACTGAACCACACACATTTCTGGTCACCTTTACACAATAGTCAACCTGTATTGTTAAAATTGATCTACTGTTTCTGAGAGGCAAAATTCTGTCCCCTTGTCATTCTTGACCTTTCACAATTGTGCCCTATGTGATGTTGCTCAAATAAAGTAGCCAATCAGGAGATTTGTTTTCTGTTCCCTTTTAACACTTCTAACACTGGCAACTAAACCAGTTTGAGCCGGATAGAGAATTAAAGCCATTCTCTGGAGTCTATCCAGGGTCTATGGATATCCATTTAGCTTGCAAGACTGCAAACTAATACCCACATGTACCAGCCAAAATCACATCCTATTTTTTCATTGCTGAGTTATTAACATTTAGAATTGTAATATAACCCCAGGTGAAAACTGTTGCAGAATTTTTTTGGAAAGAGTTAAGTAGCTTGCCTTATGAAGTTCCTGTTGCACGTTATTTGGGGGAAAACAAGAAAACAAGAAAAACAGAATAAATGCAACAACCCACTAACAGCTATATTTTTTCCTTTTATAAACTGACATCATTTCTGACCAATGTGGGAAGCTATGTTTTTTTCAGGAATACATTAGCAGCAGAAAGCATGCTGCCATTAGGATTAGAATTAGTTTGGTAAGTGTGTATCAGGTTTGATTTRGTTTTTCATATTTATCTTTGTGCTTCAGTAAAATTTTCCCTAGGGAAAAATATACGATAAAGTTAACCTTTATGGCAATTAAATAATTACCTACATACTCCARCCTTTGGCAATTTTAAAAACAAAACACCATCTACTTCACTATAAATACGGTTTCCCTTTTTGTCGTATTAATGCTATTCCATGGAAAGTTGCTGTCAGAAGAAATSCCCAAAACAAACATGGTTCAAAACTGCAGAGCAGCTGTGCAGAGGTGGATTCTTCTAATCATGATTGAACATGAACAAGAACAAATAAATCAAGGAGGAAACTCCTCAACTTCTGATGACCTAGGGAAGTCCGCTTTAAAGCCAGATCAATATCAAGCGACTTGCAAAAGAAGTTACACAGCAATCAGAAGAGTGACAGCAAAGCCCACTGCTTCTGGGAATACTCACAGGTGCCACAAGCATGGGAATTTTATTTTGAAATATGTATCACATATTTGAAATGGACAGTGTTCTCAACCTTAGCTTCTTGGCAGAAACACCGGCTGAGTGTGCACATAGTATAGGTGGATGATAGCAAACAACCTTTGGGCAAGCAGTGTACCTCGCAGCTGTGGGTAAGTTCTGCTTCTCAGGGCCCACAATCCACAGGGCCAAGGCAGACAGGCACGGTGCCAGGAGGGGGGAGGCATGCAATTTGGAGATTTTGCCATCGTGTGTTTTTAAATACATAAGTGAGTTTTTAAAAGTTGATTGCAGCAGGATTTTCAGCTAAGGCCACATTATTGGGAAATGGCATGCTAGCAATAATCATCACCTTAGCTAGTGTCCCTCAAAAAGTTCAACTGGGATAAAAATAATCACTTGGCCAAGGTCCCCATAGACTGCTCACCTCTGCTATGCTCTTCCTTTGTCCTGAGACTGCTCTGCCAAACATTCCACCTTTAAGCACTGTTTTTAGGGAGAACAGACCTTTCATCCTGAAGAAGGAACAGCTGAGAAAAGGCCAGCTGGGACTTTTGAACTGCTTTGGAACTAAGCCTCTGGGGCTAGAAATCCTTTTTTTGTTGCTATGTAACCTTAGCAAAAAAAAGAAAGAAAGAAAGAAAATAAATAAATCACTGCTTTCGTCAGCCATTTGCCTTTTAGTTGTGAGTTACTTTAACGATAAGATTGTTTCTGGGYGTGTGCTATTTCAAATGACTGCTTTTGTTTACCCACATGCAAAAGGTCCCAAAATTGCAGAATCAGAACAATTTGTGTGTGTTCCATGATAGATCTAATACAGCTTCCATAAGTGAATTTACTGATTTTCCCTTCAATAGGGAGTCTTACCCAGTCTGTAATGTTAAGCATGTGTTGGACTGAAAGATGTTTATAATAGTTTTTTTCCTAAGTATCCTTTAAAAGAAAGTTGTCTTCCATTATTTTAAAGAAAAACCAGGACAAAGGATATTATTTCACACACAGCCATGGCCTTTCTTGAAATCCACTTTCGCATCTCAGTTTTAGGAGTTACACAAGTTTTTTGCCTCACAGTTCATTGCCTGGCTTGTGCCTGAGATTCATTCCATCAGCCAGTTCAAATCAGGAGCGAGGGGCATTTGAGCCGGGCTTCTACTCTGCCAAGAAAATAATCCCCTCATGACCGGTCAGCATTTTCATTCCCCAAAGTTGGACTGACCTTTCAAAAACTGAGGTTCCTCTAAGTTTGTAAAAAATAACCTTAGAGGCAAATAAAATCCCCCTTAGGATGTCATCCCCATCCTCATCATTGACTATAGTCCCTAGCTTTCTTTTTTCAATGCGGACATTGCAAATTTGTGACTCTTCAAAGTGGCATTTAGTTCCTAAAACATTCGGAGTCAGGGCAAAATTTGCATAATTCTATTAAAAGGCTTATACCTCAGCTTTGAAAAAATATTTGAGAAAATGTGATTTAAGGAAAGGCATTCTTATCTTTTGGTCCAGAAGGTGCTTCGTGGAACTAAGCTTGTTAGCGTTAGTATGGCCAGTTAAGCAAGGAAAACTAAAAAAAAAAAAAAAAGAAAAAGAAAAAAAAAAGAAAAATAGACTAGAAGGATTTCTTTTATCTGCACTTCAAGTCTGCAGTGGTTTGAAGCTTAAGATCGAGAGGGATTTTCTGTCTCTTTCAACTGTATTACAATTTGGAAACTGGTGTCATGGTACAGTCATGGGAAACACAGGTGCATTTCTGTAGATTTTAGAATAAGATTTATTGGCTCCTTTTGATTGAGGGCAGTTCACTTAGGTGTCATTTGGAAACTTGAGTTSATCTTAGCTAGATCAAATTTGAGGCCCTGTCATCATGTCTATTTTGATCAGATGATGCTGTCCATCATTCACAGGGTGACAGCCAGTCTGGCATACATTTCCCATATTCAATTTCTCAGCTAGTACCTAATGAACCTAACAGCTCCAACCATGTACTTTACCAAACCGACTGCAGTTCAAGTGTCACCTGTGTCCCACCGTTCTCCATTATCAGGCTGCTGCTCCAGGAGCTGAGGACTGTGTGTCCTGATGATGAGATGCTGCCTGAAAACTGGGTGAGGTCTCCTACCTCTACTGTGGCCAAAGAGASTGCACAGCCCCCCTTAGAACCATCCACAGCCTCAAGCCTACTCACCTCTATGAGGACTGACATCTTATCCAGAACCTGTAAAGTCTGGGGACCTCACATGATATGTGACTTCATTTTCATTCCCAGGTCACCTGAATCGTCCTCAAGACCAGACTTTTAAAGTCCCTATGCGCCTAAGTGCATAAATAAAAGTCTAATTTTATTTTTTAAGTAACATAAAATTTATAAGTATGCTGATAGCAGAATAATTGTCTTCTAGGTTATTTATTGAAAATAAAAGTCTGGGTGAATTTATTGAAGTGCAAATTTCCTGTTGTATATTTATTTCATTTATCAGTGTCCATGGGATGCTCCAGCAGGACYGTTGTGTCAGCCCCTAGTGGCCATTCTTTCCCCCAAGAATCTTTTCTGCCCAGCAGCATGCAAACTGAATTATACTTGTTTTTCAATGCTTAAGAGTTTACTGGGTCCTACTTGTATTTAGTGTCTAATTTATATCCTTTTCCAGATGATTCTGAGTCTCCTTACACAAGTTACCTGACTTTGCAGTCCCCTTTTCCGGCAAGTGATGTTTTTTACCCGTCTTGCCATGTGACCTCAAATCAAATTAAATGAACATTTACTTTATTTATTTTGCTAAGTGTCTAAATAATTGAAGACAATTTTATTTACAAATTTTTGAAATATATTTAGGGAATTTATTTATGAATTTATTTCTAAGTTAATATGTTATTCATATCTATTTATTATTAGTAGATTATTTTATTTAAGTTATATTTACTGAAATTTTTAAAATAAATTTTGCTTATCTATTTAGGAAAACTTTCCTACCATTTTTAAAAGGTGACTTGCTTACCTGGTAATTGCTCTGGGAAGACATGGCTGACTATCCATCAGAGAATGAACTTGCAGGTACTGCATGCATACCACCAGTTCACCTTCACACACTGAAGACCAACTGGTTAACCAGAGTGGCCAATTTAGGATTGACACCTGAGAATCATGTTCTTATTATGTAATACACAGGCAAAGTCATGTTCCTCTACCTAGACACAGAGCAAAAATGTATAAAGTTCAGCCAAAATTGCCACCCCAGGACACAGAACAAAGAAACAAAAAGTCCTGATCAGATTAGAGCTAATGAACCAGTCTCCAGCCTGTTGTGAACTCCCGAAGTGCCAAGTTGTTCCAGTGAACAAACAGTGGAACAAAAACTTGGTGAACAAAAAGTTTTCTTAATTATTTGCATTCTTTTGACAGCTGTCATTACAAGATATTTTCTATTGTCTGCTACATCTTGCCTCCCTGTGGCTATGATTTTAGGTTGTAGTTTGCAACACATTGCAAGATAGTTATGATGGTCATGAAAATGAGTAAAATTCTCTTCTGAAATGTATAAAGGACWGTAGACACGTATGCTTCAACTTCACTAGGGTTTGTAGATGTGTGGCAGTTACAGGTTAGTTTTTATATAATTTAGTACGACCATTACTGGACTTAAAACATAAGACATACTATATTATACATTATGTAGTTAGAATAATATCATGAATAGTTCTCATAGTTAATATATTTTTATATATTCCCTTTATTCCTAAGTGTGAATTTTTAAGGTGACACTTTTTCCTGATAATTACCAAAGCAATCACGGCTTATGTTGAAAGAGATGGAAAATACACAAACATAGAGAAAGCCAGTAAGAATCACCTACAACCCAGAAAAACCCATTGGGTAATGAGGTAGAGAAATTCTACTTCTAGACTTATTTCTCACATTTTATTTTACAAAATCACATCATATTTCAACTGTTTTGTAATTCTAAGAATATGTACATGGTTGTAAGCAGGTTTTTTGTTTTGCTTTGTTTTGTTTTTGCCAGTTACTGTTCTTCCACATCACCTTTTTAAATGGCTTCATAGTATATTGTCTCATGCAAACTAAAATGTCAACAGCAATTCTGAGACTTGAAGGCTGTAGTTGCCAGTGGCCCACTCATGGGGTCTGCAGGCTCTTGCTTCTCTGGAGCTGGTACCTTCACTGGTTTGCTTTGAATTCCTTTAATTGGTTAAACCCTTTTGTATTTTCTCTGTTCCACCTGCAACTCCTCATTGCCTATTGTTTTATATGTACCTACTATGTGCATTTCAATTTCCCACCAGGGCTCAACAGCTTTGGTACATAATGTACAAGAAGTAAGGAAAAAGTTAAAGGATTATAAAATAATCAAAAATGACTTTCTTGGGAAGTTAGACACAGTTTAAATGGGAGCTTCTTTTTTTTCCCCCTAAGAAACACAGTGTTTCATCCTTTGTAACTAGCATGATTTTGTTCTCTGTGGTTTCAAGCAAATTTGTAGAGAACATAAGAATAAACATGATGCATATCGTGATAGAATATGTTTCATGTACGTGTATATCCATGGTTTTGGGCACCCATTGGGAATCTGGAAATGTGTCCTCCATGAATAAGGTAGGATTAAAGTATATGTGCTATTTTGAAAGAAAAGAGGAGAAAGTGGATTGTGATGGCTTGGACTTAGTTCCCTTGGTAGTTCCCTTTACCTAGAAATTGTTGTTTCTGCTTAGCCCTGGGCAGCACAGACCAAGGTTTGGTAACAAATTAACACTGAAGTCTCTGTGGCTCAGCCAAAAAAAAAAAAAAAAAAAAAAAATTATTGTTCACCCACAGACAGACAGGGACTCTACTTTATCCCAAGATTGAACAATGCAGCCTCCCTCTACCTGGGCTGGTGCCATCTCAACATGTGATGTGGCTTCCACAGTGGCTGCTAGAGGGGAATAAAAGGCTATAGCATCACACCAGATCTTAATGACCTCTGCCTGACTAGAAATGACACTTGTCTCTTCTGCTCCTAGTCTCTGGGCCAGAATTAGTACCATGGGGTACTGAGATGGCGGGAGTTCTGATTTCCAAGTTCTGAATGTAAGAACTCCTCGAATCTCAGTGTGGGCCTCTCTTGTCTTTCTACACATGCTTTCTTCAACCCTTCATCAAGTTATAGTATTTTAAATGCCACATATATGTTATAATGAACCCAATTGCTTTCTTTTGTCAAATTTCCTCTCTGGCCTCAAATATTAACTATCTCTGTGGCATTCCATCTGGATATTTCATGAATATTTCATACTTGATTTATGAAAAATATAACTACTGATTCCCTTTTCATCTCCTGCCCCCAAGTCTTATTCTCCCCACTGCTCTTGTGCAGACAATGGCATCACCAGCTGTTTACCTGTTACTTAGCCCCAAACTCCTGGCCTCCTTCTGCCTCATATCAGTTGCCTCCAGACTTGAATAAGGAACATATCATCCACTGGGTTTTCTCAAACCAGTGGCACATAGAAAATTCCTCCTAAATACTTGACAAATGAATGAATAAATGATCACCTGGGAGAAATAACAATGACTCACACAATTTACTTAGCATTCACCAAGTGCTAGGTGTTTTCAATATTATTACTGTATTCCTRAGAACCACCCTTCAAGGGAGCTAGCCAAGGAAAAAGGGCTCGTAACACTAAGAGTTTTGTATGATTTTTGCTTTTATTTCTTTATTTTGGCCACTTCATATGGCTAAGTGATTTTTTATTATATATAAAAACTAACTAACTAACTAACCATATATATATATATGGTTAGTTAGTTAGTTCTAAGTGTTTTATACATATTATCTCATGCAACTCTGACTGATAACATACAGTAGTTTTAATGCACCATTTTATTGATGAGAAAACTGAGATTAATAGAAGTTAAGCAACTTGGACTAGGTCAAATACCCAGAAATTGATGGGGCTGATATTTAAGCCCTGGTCCACTTAGTTCCTGGGGGTATATATTTCCCTGCTTTATCATAGAGCAAACTGCAGCAAGTATCTAAGAGATAAAACATCTTATGAAATACTGCAGTAGATGATTTTTAAAAATTTATCTAAATTTTAATTTTCATAATTATATTGTATAGTTCTTTTTCTCTACTTCTTTATAAATACCACTTCATTAGACATCTAGAACTTTAAAGATTAAAAATAACTTGCTAAATTTCATAGAAAAATCTAGAAAAAATGTTCTAAACCCATATGCAAATTGCATTTGATTTGATGGTTAAGATCTCCATCTTTTTATATATTTGCATAATATAAACCAGAATTCCTACCTTCTTAACACCTGGACCACATTAGCAAGTTTGGCGATAATTTCCAAAGCAGTGCCAGTTGATACACCCTAGGATGTCACCCCAGGGCTGACTCACTCCACAGAATACCTAGTGACTCCAAGTATTGTTCTCCAAGATTCAAATTTGCTGAGAGCTATTCTAAGTACCCCTTGAATAAAAAAAGATCGTATTATAATTAGCATATCTTTAAAAAGAGAAATGTCTATACTAAAATTCTCTGCCTATCTGAATATAGCTTCTTTGATTCCTTAGTTTTATTCCTATAGTTCTACAATTATATGGAAATTATTTCATGCCAACTTCTCTATTCACCATTACTTTTAAAAGGAAGTTAATGAAAGTGCTCCACTTGACAAACTTTTGCAATAGGAAAAGAGCACTGTAATATTCGAGTGAAATAACAAGGACAATTGAAGCCATGGGAAGCAGTGTCAATTTTCTAAGCAGTTCAAGCTGAGAGTAATAAGCCTGCATGTGAAGTCAAGAGATTGAGGTTGAGGAAGACGCAACAAGAGATCTTGACTCCTCTTCCTACTTCGTGCAAATGGTCTTGGAGCTCTTAAGCATAAATATTACTTTCTCTCTGGTAACCTGTATCAAGTTAAAGACAATCACTTTAAATTGCTTTTTAAATTTACAAGGCAGCAGCATTCTGAAACATTTCCAGAAATTATTTGCATTCACATAATGATAGAGGATTCTTATCCAGTGCCTACCAGGTACTATTCTAAGTGGAGCTGGACCCAGGGAGTCTAGCTCCATTTCATTGAGCTGCCTCTTTATGACAGGCTATTTTAATAAGTTCTTTAGTTAGAGAAACTCATCTTTTGAACTCGCTTGGGTGCAAAAGTAAAGTAGCACATTAAATCAGAATGGAGATGGAGATGTACCATCTCCATCTCCACCTCCACTTCCAGCTCCACCAAGAGGCCTGGAGTTACCAGCATCAACACCCGMTAGCTGAAGTTCACAACTTCAGAAAGAATGTCACAGATTTGGCCCATTGCAAAGGTGAAAGGATGAAATCTCCCTTTGAGTTAGTGGGACTCATAACCCCAAGTCTTGGGAGGTGGATGGCACTGAAGAGAGGAATCTTGAGATGGATATACTTTAAGAAAGTGAGGTTCTCCTATTTTAGGAAGTGCTTCTAAAATTGTTTCCGATTTTTAGAATGAGGATATCTTCTTTGAACTGCTCACTGGTGTTCTTGCTTTGCACCAACTGAATGAACATGATGGTCAAGGAAGGCAGACTAATCCCACCTGCTCACTCCTGTGGCTTCCACGTAGGGTTATGTATGGCTCCTGGGCTAAGAGTGGAGTAAGACTCCAAAGGTAGTTTAGAACAGCAATTCTCAAACTTGCATGTACTTKTCAATCAACTGRGGATCTTGTTAAAATGCAGATTCTGTGTCAGCAGATCTGAGCCTCTGCATTTTTTTTAATTTAATTTTTTTAAAAATTCTAATTTGTTATATGAGACTCCACATTTCTAATAAGCTCCCCTGTGATGCTGATGCTGCTGGTCTACAGACAGCACTTTCAGCAGCAAGGAGTTGTAGGACATTCTTGCTTGGAAGCAGAGGGACTTTACATGAGGTATCTTGACTCCTCATCTTATCTAGTGCATATTATCTTGGAATCCCTCAAATAATAATTTTAAAAATGACCTTATCACAATTAGCAGATCTTTAAAAAGAGAAAGATGTATTTGTAAGAAGCAAGGAATTAGAAGCTGCTAYGCCAGGT